TGGATGTTTACTTCATGAATTTTCAGTCATTATTTTGAATAACTGTATTTAAAACCATGAATTTTCTTCTAAGTACTTCTTTAGCTCATTTTATGGACTGAATGAATGTTTGCTTCATCCCCAAATGCACATGACGAAATCCTAACCCCCAATGTATTTGGAGATGGAGCCTTTGGCAGGTAATTAGGTTAAATGAGGTCATGAGTGTAGAGCCTTCACGATGTGATTAGTGACCTTATTAGAGACTAGAGAGCTTGCTTTCTCTCTCTCCCTGCCATGTGAGGATTCAGCAAGAAGGCAACTGTCTACAAATCTATAAGAGGGCCCTCACCAGACACCAAATATACTGGCCCTTTGGATCTTGGACTTCCCAGCTTCCAGAGCTGTGAGAAGTAAATGTTTGCTGTTTAACCCATCTAGCCTCTGGTATTTGTTATAGCAACCTGAACTGACTAAGACAGTTCTTTATTCTACAAATGTTGATTTATAGAATTTTTATAAAGTTCAACATATATTCATTTTTGACAATGATTTTTCTTCTTTGACCAAAGGAATTTAGAAATTTCTTTATTTTTCCAATATGTATTTCTTAAATTTTAAACACATGGGGATTTGCTAGTTATCATTTTAAAATTAAGCATTTTTTTCCCCTAAGAGCAGTTTAAGCTTCACAGCAAAACTGAAAGAAAGGTATAGAAATTTCCCATGTGCTCCCTGCCCCACACATACATAGCCTACCCCATTTTCAACATCCCCCACTAGAATGGCATGTTTGTTACAAGTGATGAGCCTATGCTGAAGCATCATAATCGCCCAGAATCCATAGTTTATTTTATGATTTATTCTTGGTGTTGTACATCCTGTGGTTTTGGACAAATGTATAATGACATGTCTTCATCATTATGGTATCATATAAAAGACTTTCCTTATAATATACTTATATAATATTCTTATATATAATATACTTATATATACTTATATATAATATATATGTAGTAAATGGATTTTTTCCTTAATTTTTTTAATTGTTCATTATTAGTGTATAGAAACACAACTGATTTTTGTGTGTTGATTTCATATCCTGAAACTTTTCTGAACTCATTTATTCTAACGATTTTTTGTATATGTGGAATCTTTGGGATTTTCTACATTTAAGATCATGTTGTCAGCGAACAGAGATAATTAACTTTTTCCTTTCCAATTTGGATGCCTTTTATTTCTTTTTCTTGACTAATTACTCTAGCTTGGACTTCCAGTACTATGTTGAATAGAGTGGTGAAATGATCATTCTTGTCTTGTTCCTGATCTTAGAGGAAAAGCTTTCAGTCTTTTGTCACTGAGTATGATGATAGCTGTGAGCTTTTCATATGTATACACAGTTGCTTTTGAATGTCTTAATTTCCCTAAGAATCTCACCTCTGCTTCTTCTTGGGGACTTAGATGTTCGGTTGCATTCCTCTACCTATAACCTCCTGCCTCCAAGCACCCATGGGTCTGGAGTTCCCCAGCAGTTTTCATGTGCCAGGGCACCTGCTGCTGCTGTCAGCAGCCTTTATACTGATATCCAAATTATGCCACAGTTCCTGTCTGAACTCCGAGCCAGACAAAACAAATCAGTCCCTTGAGCAGTCATGCCAAAATATTGCTAACACATTTCATTCTTTTCCTTCTGGAGGAAAAAACCAAGGATTGAGTGATTTACTCCTAATTGCACTGGGTTGGGGAGGGGGTTAACAACGGTGTCAGCAAAAACACTATGAAACTTCCTGCTGTTTTTAGTGGGGTTTTTTTGAGGGGGGCGACATGGGATTTGCTTGGTTGCTGTAGATCCTGGACTGATTTCTAGAGCTCCCACAACACTATTTCTAGTCAATCTGATGTTTACTTGATCTTTTCATGAGAGGAAAAGGGCCTGGAGCTTCTGACATCACCATTAGAAAGTTCTAAACGTTTTATTTTTAAAAAACTTGAATTGGATTTTGTATGATTACTTGGTTTTGAATTATAACTCCACTACATTCTTTATTTTGTGGCCCTAGGAACATAACCTTTCTGTACCTTACTTTCTTCATCAGTAAGATGAGGGGCAAAGTAGTATCTACCTCATAAAGTCATTGTGAGGCACTTTTCAGAAAAGCGACTGGAAAACAGTACATTCTCAATAAATGTTACTTGCCATAAATGTTTTTATATCATTTTGATCTCGTGATCCACTTGAGCCTTGGAAACTTAGAGGGGATTCACCTAATTAAGACTGAGAAACTGTCCAAGTCTACCACTTAGCACAACATGGAGATCTGGTAGCTGGGTTGGAGTACTGAGAAAGACAGAGTCCAGTTTGAACAGTATGTTCTGTTGTGTTAAATAAATGTGAGTTACCTATCTGTTTCCTTTCCTTATTTGTACTAGTATGGCAGTTTGAAAATAAAGTGTTTCATGTAAATATTTTTATTAATCTAATCATTAACTCAGTTTATAGAAACCTCCAAAGTCTTCCTTGTTTATTTGTTTTCTGGGGCAACAGGAAACAAATGATTTGTTTAACATTTACTAGAACCTAGAAAGCCTCTGCATTTAATTCTCCCAAGAATTTTGATCAAAACATGAACCAGGTTTTGGAATTAAATTTTGAAAGAAGTGAGTTTGGAGGGGAGTTGATTTATTTCAATTGGTGAGTTCTCCATGTGTGTGTGTGTGTGTGTGTTTCATTTATAATTTTTCTGGAATATTTTTAAAATACAGAAATGCATAAAACAAGAACGTAACAATCATCTTTGCACTCATCAGCTAGACTGTACAAATTTTAACTTTCTGCTATGTTTGTCTTAACTCATGCTCCCCAGAAGTAAACACTATTTCATCCAACCTCCCACCCCCTTCCTCTTTGGCAACCAACAGTTTGTTCTCTGTATCTATGAGTCTATTTCTTTTTTGTTTTGCGTGTTCATTGGTCTTGTTTTTTAGATTCCACATACAAGCTGATCCTTGGAGGTATGAGAATACAGGTGGGAGTGGAAGTTTGATTCAGTTGAATAATGCTGCTCATTCTTTGTATTCGGTGCACAGCACAGTGCTTGATACAAGGTAGATGCATAATAAATATTTATCGACAGGCTGAGGAGAATAGCACATACTTGGTGTCTGTCAGGGAAAATGCAAAAAGGCATACAAGCTATGATCCCAGCCCTTGGGAGCTCTTAGTGTAGTTGGGCAGATGACACACCCTCGAGAAGGAATTACATAGCAGCACAAGAAGATCCAGAGTCCAAATGTTTAGGACTCTGGTAAGGAAGGGTAGGGGTTCAAAGAAGAGAAATCCCTGGGATTTGGGTGTGGCCATTAAGGGAGAATTTGGAGCAGGAATAACTTAAGTTGCGACTGGAAGGACAGAGCAGGGAGTTTGTAGAATGAGCTTGGTGTCCTCCCAGGGGGACATGTGGACTGGACAAGCAGAGGTAGGGAGGAAGGTTTTGATTGGTGATGGGGTTGTGAGGGCAGAGAGGAAAAGTTCATGAGCTAGGAGAATCTTTAGAAAGCCTCCTCTTACCAGCTCAAAACAAGCAGAAAAGAAATCAATCTCTCCCACCCACCTGTGGGGCCAAGATGTGAGGCTGCTGGCTCAGGCACGCAAGGGTGGGATTTGTGTGTACTGTGGGTGTGTTTGGCCGAATATGTAATTTCCTGTTGCTGCGGTTTAGGTTTGTTCCTTTAGGGGCTTTGGTTACAGATAACAGAAATTGAGGTGTGTCGAAACCTTTCTGTTTTTCTTGTTACTTTTATGCAGCAGGAGACAATTTCTACTAAGTGAAGGGCTGATTCTAGCATTCTCCATCCTTAATTGTTTTCTTATCCCTTTATATACGGTGCTCCCCACTCCCCTAGCTTTGTCCGGGGTTTTGCTTTCCATGGTTTCAGTTACCCATGGTTGACCACAGTCTGAAAATATTACATGGAAAATTCTAGAAACAAACAATTCATCAGTTTTCAATTGTGTGCCGTTCTGAATAGTGTGATGAAATCTTGCTTCATCCCGTTCAATCCCACTGGGACATGAATCATTCTCTTTTGTCCAGAGTATCTACTCTGCATACGATACCTGCCCTTTAATCACGTAGTAGGCATTATCAGATCATCTGTCCTAGTATCGCAGTGCTTGTGTTCAAGTAACCCTTATTTTATTAAATAATGGCCCCAAAGTGCAAGAGTAGTGATGCCAGCAATTCGGATACACCAAAGAGAAGCCATAAAGTGCTTCCTTTAAGTGAAAAGGTAAAAGATCTTGACTTGATAAGAAAAGACCAAAAAATCGTATGTTACAACAAATAAAACGTCAAAAAGAAAAAATCGTATGCTAAGCTTGCTAAGATCTATGGTAACAACGAATCTTCTATCCATAAGAATGTGAAAAAAAAATTTTGTGCTAGCTTTGCTGTCATACCTCAAACTGCAAAAGTTACAGCTACAGTATGCATGATAAGTGCTTAGGTAAGATAGAAAAGGCATTAAATTTGTGGGTGAAAGATATGAACAGATAGAGACCACATTCACATAATTTTTATTACAGTATATCTTCATAATTGGCCTATTTTTTTTATTAGTCATTTTTGTTACTCTCTTACTGTGTCTAATTTATAAGTTAAACTTTATCATAGATATATATGTGTAGGAAAAAAGCAGTATATATAGGATTTGGTACTATCCAAGTTTTCAGGCATCCACTGGGTCTCTCGTAGTCCTTCCTATAAGGGGGACTACTGTACCCTAATTCTACTGGTCCTTCCTCAAGGACTGGCAGGGAAAGAAGGAGGATAGGGTGATTTTCTCATTGATGTGCCAGCTGGGTTCTTTGCCATTTGGGGAGCCTGCTTGTGGGCCGGGGGACTAATGATGCCCTCTCTACCGAGTTTCTGCCTCCAACTCCCACCTCTCAGCCTGCTTCCCACTAGATTCCCTCAGGGATTTCTCTCAGCGTTAGAAACAAGCCCGGGTGTTGGTGAAAGTCAGCTGCCTTCCTTGGCTTCCTCGTCCACGGCAGTCTGGATGTTCCTGGCTGCCCGGAGGCCAGACTTGATGGCAGTGTCTATCCAGGCATGGGGCAGGCAGATGTGCTCGCCAGCCAGCAAAGTGGATGCAGCCCTCTGGCTGGAAGAGGTGCTGCAAATAGTCCTCAAGTTGGTTGGGTGTGAACTCAGAGAAGGCACCCATGACCAGCGGGTCCAGAGACCAGTGTTTGATCACAGAGGAGGGGCACATGCACCGCAGCTCCGCCTTAGGCACCCAGTGCAGGGCCAACAGGTCCTCCAGGACAATATCCACCACCTGGTCCTGCTTCATGGATATGAAGAAGAGAGAATCATCATCCAAGGTGTAGGAGGCCAGCAGGATGCCCTTGCCGCTGGGGAGGCTGTGGCTAGGGTAGTAGATGTAGCGCGAGGGCCGGTCAGTGATGGAGACCCCGCCTCGGATTCCATCCCGCTCCCAAAAGGGCTCATTACAGGCCAGAACCACCTTGGTAGCACAGGTGTAGTGCACCGAGCCAAGCGCGTCCACCTTGTCTAGGGAGAGTGGTGGCTTAAAGGTGATGAGGCGTGTGGCCTTCACTGAAGCGGAGACGATGACAAAGTCCACGGTGAGGGTATGCAGCTCTGAGTGGAGCTCACCCACCCCACTGGAAATCTCGATCTCAGGCCCATCTCTCACTACCATCTCCACCTTGGAGCCCAGGAGGATGGTGCCAGGCTTCAAGCTGGCGCTGAGGGCTTTGGGGAGCTGATCGAAGCCACCGGTGATCTAGGTAAAATTGCAGGGGTGAAAAGAGGGGAGAGGGTGAGGGTGGGAGGCAAGGGGCCCGCTTGCCCAGTCACCAGAAGCATTCCTGGTCTGAAAGGGGAGGAAACTAGCTTCATGTACACACTTTAAATACATCGTCTTAATGATCTCTGTGAGGAGGAATTAATTTTATAGTTTGGGACACTGACACCCAGAGAAAAGGGACTTTTCCAAGATGACATACACAGTCTAGCTCCATAGTCCATAGATTCAGCTGCCATGCAATTCTGCATCCCAGGACGAGTCCTACAGACCTGGGTTTGAATTCTGGCTCCAGCCCTTGCCCCAGTTGTGTGAATTTGGCTGTTACATAATTTCTCTGGGTCCCAGCGGCCTCATAGGTAAAATGGCTCTGAATAATAGTACTTATCTTCCAGGGGATCACAAGATTAAGTGTGACATTCTTGGAAAGTGCTTGGCACCGTGCCTGGCACATTACTCAATAATCAAAGTTCCCTTTCTCTGCTCTGAGTGTTGGAGGAGAGGGCAGACTTGAGTCCTGGTCCAGATCGGTCTTACTCATCACTTTTGGAGAAGATGATGTCAGACTGTAGAGACTCAAGGAACGACTTATAGTATTCAACATCTTCATTCATCACATCCTTGATCATCTTTACTGCTCCTGGGCTCAGCATTCCTTCCTTCAGCAGGTAAGCCTGTGGGGAGGTGGAAGTGCCAGATGGAGGCCGAGTACATAGGAAGGGGATTTCAGTAGTGGACTAGGGCAGGCAAGGGGTGTAGGAAGAGAGGGTCCTGATGGCAGAGGACAATTCCACGGGGATAAACTGAGCACAAACCCCACTCCACCCCTATCCTGGGATTTCTTTGCCTCACTCATCTTGGTGGAGTATGAATCATAAAAGGACATCAGGTGGCTGCAGTTGAAATTGTTCAGACTTTGTTTGAGCTGCAGGAGAACAAGAGGAAGCAGCTTTGATTAAAGCCGGAGCCACAAGCAGGACTCTTGGGTTCTCTGGATGTCCTTTCGAAGAGGGTGAGGGCAAGGAGGTAGGGGAATGGAAAAACCAGGCAAAATATGCTTCCAGAAGCTCCCAAATGCTCCTCTCTCCCCCAAACCTTCCCTTCCTTTACAGATCTTTGGAGACTAAAATTTAAGGCGAAGACATTCATTGTAATCCAGCAGGATTGGTTCATTACCGAGGACCCTTTTCCCTCCACTGCCACTGATCGAGCAATGGCCATGGACTACCCAAGGACAGAAGAGATGGAGCTAGGCACTAGAGTGGGGGTGGCTACAATCTTAGGTGTATTATAAGGAAGGCAGACCAATCACAAGAGTACTGGATAAGAGTCAAGTGATCTTGGGTACAACCACTAAATAGACAGGTGACCTTAGGCTGGACCTTGTTCTTTCCCATCCCTGGGAGGGGTAAGGCAGGAGGCACTTTGGCAGTGGACTGGTGGAAGAGAGATTCAGTGCTTTTGCCCTTCTCTATGGGGTTCATGGAATAGCCCAGGAGCTCTGGGTTGGCCTTGACCTCCCTAGCGCGATAGCGTTGTCCATTGATGAGGTACCAGGTATTGCCATCGTATTGTATGAATTTGTTTAGCTTCAGGCCCAGTTTCTTGACATAGGTGTCAAATACAGGCATAACATGGCACCCATCCCAATGGCACTCCATTGCTACTGGTCTCACAATAAGAGCCATTTCCAGGAAAACCTGTTTCTTCATGTGCCCAGAGAACTCAGAATAACTGCTTCCTCATCTCTAACCCTGTTTCCTCTCACTGAGGCATTAGTTCTTTTCCTTCTGTTTTTGCCCTGAGGGAGGAGGGGAGTAGGGAGTTCACCCATTACTGAATGAAGGCCCTTTAGGAAATCCTGGCATATAAGACGCAAATACAGAGACAGAGGCCTCTTGTTTCAGATGACATTTGAAATTCCATTTTCCATTTCTAAGTATGTTTGAGGCCATATCTAAAGACTCCTAGTTTGGGCCGTTTCAGCTGGTGTTAGATTTAGTTTTCGGTGGTGTTTGGAGGGAAATCTCTGGTTTGGTTTATACTTAAAAAGAAAAGTTATATTTTTGGAGGTGTGTGAGACACCAGGTGAGGGATTTTCTCTGTCTTGGAAGTGTTAGATCCAGAAGCCAGGCTCTTTCCCAGGAAGTCAGTTCCTTAATTTGGGAAACAGGAGAGGATCAAATTATAAGGTTGTGAGGATCGAATGAAATAATGCACGAATAAGGCTAAGCACATACTAAGTGCTCAACAAATGGCCGCTGTTATCATTTTATAGCTTACTGTGGTATAATTGACATACGAGAAGTGGCCATTTACAGTATACACTTTAATAGTTAATGGTAACTATTAACATTATTAGTTTGGGATTTACCACTTTCTCTGTGACCATGGGCTGAGCCTCGGTCGTCTCTGTCAAGTGAGGCGCCAGCATTAGTCCTGACTTGCAGGATCGAATCACACGGGGCAGTGCATCTGAACGGTCTCTGACTCGATGGCAGCAGAGCCCATACTACTTCCTCCTGACCCCTCCTACTTGCCCTTCCCTCCATCCCTTTCCAGGGACTTACCTGTGTGACTTTGGGATTCGCACGGGCCCCACTTCATAGTACCAGCCCTCCTCCTCATTCCTGAATGTGACCACTTGACCCCCAATGTGGTCACTGGCTTCCGGAACTGTAACCTGAGGTCCAGAGAAGCTGCCGTCATTCCCAGTATCGGACTCTCCTTCTTCTACCCTCTATTCCCACCTCCACCCAGCCATAGGCTCTCATCTGAAATTCCCAGCAGTAGGTCTCTAAATGTGCAGGCTAACCGAACTGCGGGTATCAGGGGTGTTTCCTCCAGGAGGGTCCCGAGTAAGGAAAGCGAGGCAGAAGAGCCCCATGGTGGCAGGGGACATAGCGCATCTTCGGTCCTTACCCTTTAGCATACCCCTTCCTTACTTTTGTTTCCACAAGAACACAAGTTACAGTTAAGGGCAGTTCTCAGAAGACCCCAGATTTTTGAGAAACAATAACTAAAGGCTCAAAGACTCAGTGGGTTAACGTGTAGCTGTTTAGAGTCGGCTGCAACCCCACTCTTTTTTCTTTTCCCGCCCAATGAAGCAAGCTCGGAGGCAAATGATTGAGGCCCCCCCGAGGCCTGCTCACCTGGTGGCCAGCATCCTGCAGGGCCTTGGCCACCACCAGGCCTGACATGCCAGCTCCCACTATCACCATGCGCTTGGGCAGTGGGGAGGTATAGAGGCCCTCCTGGGCCGTGACAAGGATGGACTCGTATTCAGGGTCCTGGAAGCACTTGACTAGGTCCTCACAGTAGCCAAGGCAACTGGGAGTAGCCAACAGGAGCCCCAAGGTCAGGATTCCTGGGACAGAGAAAGGAATGGGAGCTGCTTTTCTGGGGCCCAGGTGCTATGTCTGCCCTACTCAGGGTGAGCTTGGCTGTGTGAATAAGTGGGCGTGGTAAGGTCAGGCATTGCCTGTCGGATGTGTGGTTGTGATCATGTGTGTTTGTGATCGTGTCTTTGTTGGGTTGATTGTGTTGTGTGGGGCGTGATTGTATATGTGGTCTATACTGGCGTTAGTTGTGTGGTTGTAAAAACGAACTGCAAGTTCATGTACGTGCATGTGATTGGAAAGTCACGATTGTGTGCAGGTTCGTATTTAACTGTAAATATACCTGCTTCCGATGGTGAGTATGTGTGTGAGCTTGTCTGTGACATAAGTTGTTGTGATTGCGAGTTTGTTATCATTGTCTTATGTGACTGGGCATTGTCTGTGATTTTATGTGAGGGAGTGTGTTTGTGGGACAGTGTGGATATTTGAGTAAATGTGTGAATGAATCTTAATGGGAAAGCGAAATGGGTTGTAGTGTATATGTGTTAGCCTGGGTTTGGAACAGTGAAGATGATATGTGTGCATTTGCTTGAATTCGAGAGAGAATATGGCTGCTCATGTTCTTGTGTTTGATTCTAGGTGTGTATTTGAGTGTGAGGCTGGATGGGGGAGTCTAAAGATGTCTATATTCTTTGGAAATGTGTGCATTTGTGAGAGGGTGTGTGTGTGTGTGTGTGTGTGTGTGTGTGTGTAAGTGAGAGTGTAGGGAGCACGGTTCTCTTTGGGGGAAGGGAGTAGGGGAATTGTGACCAGTTTCTCAGCGACTTTATTAGCTCCCTGGGGGACATTGGCAGTCCTATTGCTTTTCTCCAGCCTCATGGTACTTTTTCAAAGCCCATCAGGTTTTCTAATGTGCAGCCAAATTGGAAACCATGGATAATATGTAACATGCAATAAGTCCTAAGTGATTTGGTTTTCTTCTCCACAATTAACTGCTCTGATGTACAGAGAAATTCACCTGAGAGTCTGAAACAAGAGGCTGTGCGGTTTCCTCAATGTTGCCTGCTCTAAGGGGAAACAGCCAGGAGCTATGACACACTGTGCCCGCTTGCACTAGCTCTGGGGTTTTTGGCAGGTGTGAACCCCTTAGTCTAGTCTTTGTGCAGGTGGGATAACCAAAGCTCACAGAAGAAAAGGGATCTTCAGGGGCCACCTGCTGAGGAGAGGCAGGACACCCAACTGGTTCCCAGTGCAGGCCCTTCCCAATGCCAGAAGAGCCTTCTGTAGGGGCGACTCCTCAGAAAAGAGGAGAGGCGTAACCATGTCCCATGGGAAAAGCCCCAAGCTTCATCCCCTCTCCACCTCCCCAAGGCCTACTTCAACCTCCCTAATCCATTCTCCATCCCAACAAACTTTCCTGTCTCCCTGAGCTACCGTCATTCCTGTCTTAGACCCCGTGTCCTTCCCTTTGAAAGGGCCCACCCCCAGACTCATTCTCCAGACCTATATCTATTCTCTTGGCTCACTTTCAGCACCTAGAACTATCCGTAGCCCCTGATATAGTTGCTGTCACATCTCAGATCCCATCCTCTTTCTCCTTGCATTAGCTCTATACCAAGATTCTCCCTTGATCCATCTCAAGCCCCCTGGTCTAGTCTCATCCCCCAGTCCAGTTCCTCTCCCTGTTTCAGTGTTCAACTCCTCCTTCTTCAGGTGCCTCTCTGTCAGACCGTAAAGGGACTCCACTTACCCCTCATCTTTACCGTGGACCTGCGGCACATGCTGAGCCCTGAGCGGCTCTTCCTCTCTTTATGAAGATCTAGCTCCACCCCAGCAGTAGCTGGCCTCATTCCACTAGCCTGCCCTTGGGCCCTATTGACTGGGCCAAGAAGAAAAACCCTGCCCTTAAGGGTGAGGTAACCACAGTGACTCAGTCCCATCCTCAGCCTCATTTTCTGCATCACCACCTTCCCCCTGGTCCATCCGCCTCCTAGGAAAACCACTTCTCCCAGCTCAGACCCCAGCACATGGGTGCCAATGTGGAGGTAAAAACTCATTTTTTTTTTCCCTCAGAAAGGGTGTGTGGAAGGGATCATAGAGGACCAAATCCTTGCATTATTTCAGAGTCTCCATTTATAAATGACTTTTTATTTTTAATTTTTATCTTAATTTTTATTGATACTGATTTGATTGAGTATAGAATTCTACAGTTCAGACACTACTTTCACTAGGAACTTGGGAGGCATGTCTTCAATTTTTCTGGAATCCAGTGTTCCTGATCAAGTCTAATGCTAATTCTGTTTCTTGTTCCTTTGCAAGTCATCTCTTTTTTCCCCAACCCCTGGAATCATTTAAGGATTTCCTCTTTTTCGTAGAAATTCTGAAATTATATGAAGACATGTTTGGATGTCAAATTATTTTCAATCATTTGGTTGGTAGACATGAGCCTTTTGAGTCTAAAGACTTAAGACTTCTGCCAGCTCAAGAATTATCTTCCTATTTCTTATAAGTGGTTTCTATTTTTTCTCCTAGAATTCCTATTAGTTGGAATGGAATATTTATTTTATTATCATTTACTTTTTCCTTATATTTTCCATTTCTTTATAATTTTGTCAAATTGTGAAAATTGTCTGTTTATAAATTGTATCATATTATATGTATTTTGCAACAGGCCTTTCTTTTCCTTAACAATATATTTATGAGAGTCACCCATGTTAACACATGTGGTTCTAATGCATTATTTTAAATATTTTACAAATATATAATGATTTATTTATCCCTTTTTGTTTTAATGAAAATTAGGTTTATTTTCAGTTTTCCTCCATTACAAACAACACCTCTGTAAGTTTTCTCACATAGTCTTATTGTGTGAGTTTTTCCAGGGAATATAACCAAAAATGGAATTTATGAACTACAGGGCATACTCAACTTCAACTTTATTATATAATGCTAAATTGTTCTCCAGAATAGTTGTACCAATTCATATTCCTACTGGAAGAGTATCAGAGTTCTTATTTCTTCACATGCTAGCCAATCCTTGGTATTGTCACTCTCTTAATTTTTGTTAATCTGACAGGAATAAAGTAGTATTTCTTTATTGTTTTATTTTGTATTTCCTTGATTATTAGTGAGGCTGAACATCTTTTCATATATTTATTGGTTATTTGGGTTTTTGCTCTGTGAATTTCCTGTTCATATCCTCTGCTTGCATTTCTGTTAGATTTTGTCTTTACTTATTGATTTGTAGAAGTTCTTTATGTACTTTGGATATTAATTTTTAATTATACACATTACAAATATCTTCCCCCAGACTGAAGTTTGACTTTCAACTTTATTTATGATGTCTTTTTTCATGCATAACCACTTATTTAATGTAGTCAAGTCTACGAATTTTTAAAGAAATTCTTTCCTGTTCCTATGATCATAAAATAGTATCCCATATTTATTCACTCAACAAATATTTGTGGAGCATCTATTAAGGTCCAGGCAATGTGCTAGGCCTTGGAGAATCAGTAGAAAACAGCACAGATAAAAATCCCTGTCCTCTTGAAGACTCAGAGAGAGGCGCATAATAAACCAAATAAGTAAGTAAAATACATAGCATTTTAGATGGTGATCATTGCTATAGGGAAAAGAAAGCAGTAATCAGAGAGAAATAGGGAGATCCAGCGATAGAGTCGTTGATTTTAAATAGGGTGAAAGGCCTCCCTGAGAAGATGACATTTTGGCGAAGATGTAAATGAGGTGAGAGGGAGCCATGTTCAAATGCTGGGGAAGGAGCTCGCTAATCAGAGGGAATAGTAACTGCAGTTTCTTATCTTCTTTGAGAAACGGGGAGGAGCATGGCTAGAGCAAAGTGAGCAAGAAGGAACATAGTAGGGGATGAGGTCCGAGAGGTGAGGAGGGGCCACATCATGTAGGACTTTGTAGGTTATTGCATTGACTTTGGTTCCTGCTCTGAGTGAGAGGGGAAACCAATGACAGGGTTTAGCAGAAGAGTGACATAATCCGAATTATGTTTTAAAAGGACCACTCTGGCTGCCACGTGGAGAATAGAATGTCCAAGGGAAAGGTGGAAGCAGGGAGCCTGGTCCAGAGGCCTCTGCAGTGATCCAGGTGACAGATGGAGAGTCGATGTTGTTTGACCAGGGTGGTAGTGGTAGTGATTATGAGCAGTGACTTCTGGTGGTCTTTCAAAGGCAGAGCTCATAGCGTTTGCTGAATGTTTGTATGTGAAATGAGAGAAAGAAAAAATTCCAAGGTGATTCCAGGGTTTCCGATCTGATCAACTAAAGGATGGAGGTAATTGACATAGGACAGAGTTCCAGAAGCAGGTTTGGGGGAGAAGCTCAGGAGCTAGGTTTTGTACACATTAAGTTTAAGATAAGTATACCTAAGTGGAGATGTTGAGTAGGCATAACGAAAGTCCAGAAGTGGGGTGGTTCTGAATCCATCAATTCAGAGATTCCACAGTATCATTAATACTCTTGGTTGTTTTTCAGCTTTGAAGCTGCCAATCTCAGAATGTTGGTGATCACATGTGATCTTTTGTGGTCACATGATGATTGAAGCAGTTCTGGCACCATGTGCCATCATGACCTCAGCCCGCAGAAAGAGGGCATTTCTTTTCTCACATGTCTCTTTTTAAAAAAAAATTTATTTATTTTAATTAGTTTCAAGTATACAGCACATTGGTTAGACATCTATATAGTTCATAAAAGATCCCCTCAATTGCTCTCTCCCTTCCCTAGCCCTCCATGTGGCCAACATATTAATGCTAACTGTATTCCCTATGCCATACTCCCCATCCCCGTGACCATCCATCAGCTCTAAATTTGTACTTTTTTAGCCCTTCACCCCATTCTCCCAGCCTTCCAAACCACCCTCCCCTCTGTCCATCACCAAATTCTCCACTATATTTGTGAGTCTATTTTTTATTAGTTTGTTCTTTTTATTTTTTACATTCTGCATATAAGTGATATCATATAGTATTTATCTTTCTCTCTGACTTAAATACCTTCTAGATCCATCAAGGCAATATCTTTTTCCATCCCCTTCCTTTTAGTCTGTGTGTGTCTTCTCATCTGAAGTGAGTCTCTTGTAGGCAGCATGTAGGAGTCTTGTTTTCTTATCCATTTATCCACTCTATCTTTTAGTTGGAGCACTTAATTCTTTTCCATTTGAGGCACTTATTCCTGCTTTTGATACATGTTTTTTCTTCTTACAGAAGTCTCTCCAACATTTCCTGTAATACTAGCTTGGTGGTGACAAATTCCTCTAGCTTATTTTTGTCTGGGAAGCTCTTTATCTGTCCTTCAACTCTAGATGATAGTTTTGCTGGATAAAGTTTTCTTGGTTGTAGATTCTGGGTCTTCATCATGTCGAATATTTTGTCCCAAGTTCTTCTGTCCTGCATAGTTTTTTTGAGAAATCAGCTACCAGTCTTATGGGTGCTCACTTGTAGGTAACTATTTGCTTTTCCGTTGCTGCTCTTAAGATTCTCTCTTTATATTTAAACTTTGGGATTTTAATTATGATGTGCGTTGGTGTGAGCCTCTTTGGATTCCTGGTTTTTGGAATTCTCTGAGCTTCCCGGGGTTGTATGTCTATTTCCTTCACCAAGTTAGGGAAGTTTTTCATCATTATTTCTTAAAATAGCTGTTCAATATCTTATTTTCCTTCAGGCCAAAGGGTATTTTGACCTTTAATAGTGTCGCATAGGCTCCTTAAATTATTTTTATAGTCTTGGCTTCTTATTTCTTGCCATTCCGATTCAGTGTCCTTGGCTTTCCCATCCTCTATATAGGTCATTTGATCCTCTTCTGTATTCGCTTTGTTTATTCCATTTAATATACTTATCATTTCAGATAATGTGTTCTTCACTTCAGACTGGTTTCCTTTTATAATCTCCATTCCCATTTTTATGTTTTTTACTTCTTTGTTGAAGTTCTCACTGAATTCATCTACATTTCCCAAAAGTTCATTGAGCATCTTTATAACTAGTGTTTTGAATTCTGTATTTGTTAGATTACTTGACTCCATTATATCTGGATTTCTGTTCTGTTCTGTTATATGGTTTCCACTTCTTTGTCTTCCCATTTTGGCTGCCTTTCCGTGTCTGTTTCTATGTACTAAGCAAAGCTCCTAAGTCTCCCAGTCTTATTAGTGTGGATTTGTGAAGTAGGTGTCCAGTGACACAGTCCTGAGAGGGGTTCAGCTATCCACAGATGCTGTGCTTATAGTTGCCTCAAAAGGCCACATCAGAAACCAAGGCCAGCTGCCTCCAGTGTTAGTCTAGGGACATCTGCTCAGCAAGGAACATTTGATTCGCTGAGGATATACCTGTGTGTGGCCTGGGTGGGGCTGCGAGTTGGTGGAAGCAGAGTTTCAGGGGATTCTGTGGGCAGAGCGACCTCTGTTATCTAGTTTGATGATGTCTCTGCTATGGCGGCACAGCATCTGTGTACTGGGAGGGGGAGGGCTCAACAGAGAAGCAATAAACACTGCCAGCACTTCTGTACAGAGCAAGTCTCGCCTTGGCCCTAACTCTGACAATGTCTTCACATAAGTCCCTAGTGCCCCCTGAGCACAGCCGAATCAGCACTGGTGCTCAGAGAGAGCAGGTCCTTCACCGTGAAAGTCCACTCGTGGGCTCAGCCCCTTTAAGAGGTGTCTGCTACTGACTGGGCAGCCTCGTGTTCTCACCCCATCCTATCTTTTGCCATTGCAGGGTGATTTTTTAGATTCCTCCCTAGTTGTATGGCTTGTTCATCTAGATCCCAGGTAATTTTTCCTTGCTGTTTGCTCCTTGATTTCGTCACCAGAGGGATAAACAGAGCCTCTCTCATCT